CGGAGGCAGGGACCCTGAAGGGGAAATCCTGGCTGGGCTGTAGATGAAGATCTTGCCAGTTAGGATCTGGACCTGGCGATAAGACTGGGAATTTCCCCAGTATTTTTAACTCTTACAGTAATAGACATCCACATGCAGGAGGAGAGCTGGCTGTAGCTAAGTCCGGTTTCCTTTTCTCCACCTGAAAGGGAGATGTACAGGTTGCTGTGCCTCTCTGCTGGGGCCCTCAGTCTGCCCAGCTTATTGGTCTGTGTTTATACCCAACGCTGTTCTGGACACTATCAGCTACACACAGCTGGTCTTTACACCCAACGTTGTTCTGGACACTATCAGCTACACACAGCTGGTCTTCATAAAAGAGTCCAGCTGAGGAAGATCCACTCGTCTCCTTTACAAATGACTCCGGCTTCGTGGCTTAGGCAACACAAATTTATTCTTAGAAACTGACTGCCTTCCAGAGGTCAGAAGTCCGACTGGTCTCACCAGGCTAAAAGCTAGGTGTCACGGGCAGCATTCCTTTCTGGAAGCCCCTGGGGAGGATCCATTCCCTCGCCTTTTCATTTCTTTCCAGGGGCCACTGTATTCCTTGGCTCGTGGCCCCTCCTTCCTCCCTCGAAGCCCACAATAGCAGGTCAAATCCTTCTCACAACAGCTCACACTGATTCCGTCTCTCCTCTCCTCCCCTGAATCTTCTGCCTTCCTCTTCCATCTTGTAAGGACTCTTACGATCACACTGTTCCACTTGGATAATCCAGGATAATCTCCTTGCTTTAAGATCCTTGATCCAATCACATCTGAAAGGCCCCGTTGCCATGTACGGTAACATCCAGAGATGCCAGGGAGTAGGTGCTGACATTTGGAGGGGAAGGGGGCAGCTATTCCGCCTGCCCCGGGAGAGAAAGCGCACGCAACAGCGCATAGATAGAACACCGACAACGACGCAGAACGCTGCGTGCCAGGTATTGTGCCGAGTGCTCGACTCGCGTCAGCGACTTCCTTGTCGAGAAACCAGGCTCGTGAGATGATACACACTGCCCAGGTCACACAGACAGTTCACGCCCAGGTTGCCTGCCTCCAGGTCACGCTCTCGACCCTTTCTCTGCATAACTCAGGGCTCGGTGTGCACATTCAGTGGTGTGCAGCTTCTCCCCATCACAGACTCATTTACTCTTTTCTCCCTGGGACCTTATTTTGAAAGATTTTGTGTATTAAAATTGTTTTCATTAATGAACGTCATTAACGAAATTGTTTTCATTAATGAACGTCATTATCACGTCAGAAAGCTATGAGCTAATCTCTTTGCCTCTTCTAGATTTACATACTTACAGCCAAAAATAATGCAACTTTACATTTTACTTAACACACGTTGGCATCATTTTGGAATACCGAAACGAGAGCTCAGATAACCCCCTCTTAGGGGGCCTGGGGTTCAGAGGAGGGAATCGATGGGGTGGAGCAGTCCAAGAAAAGGGGTCTGACCTCAGCCTCAAAGAAGCGGAGATTTCAGATAAACCAGAGAACAGAGAATGTGAATGACATCTACGACAGTGGTCTCCAATCTTTTTGGCACCAGGGACTGGTGCTTCGTTGAGAATCTAATGCCCGATGATCTGAGGCGGAGCTGAGGCAGCGATGCTAGTGCTGGGGGCGGCTGCAGATACAGATGGAGCTTCCACTCGCCAGCCCGCCACTCACCTCCTGCTGTGTGGCCCGGTTCCTAACAGGCCACGGACCAGTACCAAACCATGGCCTGGGGGGTGGGGACCCCTGATCTGGGAGATGACACAGGAAGCCTGTTAGGGAGAACTGGAAAAAGAAACTGGAGGAGAACAGATAACATCAGGCTTTGAAACAAAGATAAGTAAGGTTAAAGTTAGCCAAGCAGCAAAGCACAGAAGCTGAAAAAGTTCTGAGCAGATGTGCTCGGACTTGGGTAGGTCAATCATCTAGAACAAAGAAAGGAGGAGGCAAGGAAGGGCGTGGAGACTAACTTCACTATATGCCCTTTGATTCTTCTAAATTTTATACAATGTAAATGTATAAGCTAATGTAGTAGACAGACACATGCATGTAATATATATACACATATAAGCTAATGCACTAGATACATACATGTCATATATGTATAATTGTAATTTATAGGTACATGCTTGTAATATATTACATATGCATGTAATATATATGCATGCATGTATTATGTGTGCCTGTCATACAGATACATGCATGTCATATATATTATATGTGTGTGCTATATATAATATATATAATATGGTATAAAATATATGTTATAGAATATATAGTATTATATATAATATATAATATGATAAATGATATATGATATGACATATAATAACATAACATGTAGATACATGCATATAACATATAGATACACATGTAATATATGCCTGTAATTTATAAATGTGCATGTCTAACATACAGATACATGCACTATATGCATGTGATATCTAGGCACATACATGTGATATGTTATAAATGCCTGCAAGATCTAGATACATGTGTGTAACGCAGACATGAATGTAGTGTATAAACATAATATGTAGATATGTCCACGTATATGACTATCTTTACTGGCCCAGAGTACCATCCAGTTAACCAGATGTCTACTCTTGGCGCACACATGAGCTGGGATGAAGACTCCTCCATTCCGCCCCCTCCACAGTAAAGCTACTTCAGCAATTTCCTCGTTGTCTTAAAAAATTGCTCCTTTGGTCTCTGTCTACCTACTTCATCCCTAAGCATCAAAAGCTTGGTGCCCAAGCATTTTATATTACTTTCGTACATCTGCCCAATTTGGATGAGAACCTACTACAGAACTGACTCAGAACTCTCACACAATGCTGTCATTTACCCCCACAGTCCATGATCAGCTGTAGAGTCACAAGGCGCATGCGGCCCAGCCCAGCCCAGGGGCCTGGCTCAGACAACACCTGCCAGCTGGCCTCATCCCCACTCCAGGCTCCACGTCATCACCAGGGATGGGCATTAGTATTTATCTTTTCATGTTAGTATGTGATTCAAGGGGCATTTTTATCTCACAGATCAACAGGTATCCTATTCGTTTTGTTTTTAAGAGCTAATGAATGAAATAATTCCAACGATGTTTTTGTGGGAAGATGCTGAACCTTTACACTTTCTGAATACTAACATATGCTTGATTTATAGTACTGGAAAGCTCGACAGTCAAAGCAATCGCCCATGAAGCTAGGCAAGCACCCCACAAACCTGCTGCATTGGTGCTGTGAGCGGAGTCTCAGGCAAATGGAGGCGTTAGGATTCCTTCACTGTTATGAGGTTTAGGGAGAGTCGCATGAGAAAATAACTCCTCAAACAGGCTGCGACTTAATTACATTCAAAGCCACAGTGTTAAGCTCTTGCTAAGAGTTTAGATGTTACACACCAGCTTATATAAACAAGTACAAGTTACAGCAGGCATAAAAGAGGGACTAAACTAAAACTCACTGCCCAACCAGATCCTAAAAGCGCTGGGTGACTCTGCACATTTTGCCAATTTTCATGTGTGAGGTCACATGCTACACTGTACGAGTGAAAGTCGTACAGCCAATTACCTGATGGGCCTGACTCCATTAGTCAGCTCGGAAATATTTATTGAGGTCCCCACAGAAGAGTCATTTTAGAAACTATGTTAACAAGAAAACATCCAAGGATGGACTAATTGCTAAGCTTCTAAAAACTGTTCTCTCTTCTCCTGGAACTCCTGGGAAGGCAGGAAAGACGCCGTTTGTCTGTATGTGCCTACGTAGCACGGTGTTCACCGGCAAACGACACGAAACCAGAACACAGAAAACCTTAGAGCAGAGCCGTGATTCAGAACTGAAATTCATGTGTCACGTTCATGAAGCACTTCCAAGGGCGTCATCCCATTCATCCCTCCCGTAACCCTCATGAATGAGAAAAGCAGGTTGCAGCAAGGGCAGGCAACGTCAGTACCAGAAAAGACTGGGCTTGCGACCAGTCTTTTCTATTTAGAGCCTCTGTCCCCTGCCCATGAATTTCAGGTAAGTATTACAAACTCACAATATGGCACTGACTCTAAAAACATTTTGCCCAGAGGGTGGTAGACAGATGTGATTCACCCGCCCACCAGCGGCCCTGAAAGGCACAGTTCCTGTTCTAGGACTTTGCAGCCTCCTGTCAAACATACCAGAGTCTTCGACGGCGACTCCCCTCCTTCTTGTCACGCCAGCAAAGGGCCAGTGATTGGCACCTTCAGATCGCATCTCCCCATAGTTCTTCCCAGTTGGTCATACTCCACAAAACAATCGTGATTCGGTCCCTCATCCACTGTCTCTCTAGTAACCACTGTGCAGCATGAACGTCAGTCATTGAATCTCTGTACGGTGTTGCTGTTAAATACCTATGTCATACACATATGTACACTCTGCTACATCTCCGACATAAGCTTTTTAATGACTGAGGTGTCTCGGCATTTAATTCAGATTATGCACCATTTTGAGGTGCTCACTAAATAGAAAAGACTTGCAATGCCTTTGTTCTAATGAGTTCACCGCCTCATCACAAAGCAGATAGACAGGAACAGCAAATATACGCTGTTCGGCTCTGACTTTTACAGGCATGGGTCCCAGTTTCACTGCAACTCTCGGAGACGAAATCGTAAACCTCACTCACAAGGACTCTGGTGCAGTGAACCTGAGTTAGACTGTCTGGTTTACTCTGAGTCCTACCACCTTCCAGTTGGAATAACTGAGGCTAGTACTCTGCTCAGAGGCTCAGTTTTCCTCTCTTTAAAACAGGAATTGTTGTGGAGAACATTTACCACCATCCCACCATTCTGGATCTTTCCTCCCCAGAAGAGAGTCCTTTCATTGGGATATCACAGCCAGCCCTCCTCTGCACATCCGTTCCCCATACACGCCCCCGCCACACACACACACGCACACGCACGCACACACACACACACCTGCCCATGCCCCATCCTGGGGAGAGGAAGAGTGTCTTACCCGACTTGTGAGTTTGGGAACACAGTAACTGGTCTCTTTCTCTTCGTTTTCTCATTGGAATCTTCCTGCCTCAGAGAGAATACACTCTGCTCCTCAGAGTAATACACTGACAGGGCTGCCTCCATGGGGCAGGCTGGGTTTGTCCTTCCTGTGATTAGGTGGGTACAGGATCAGTACACCCACTTGCCAATACATCTAAAGCATGCTCTCCAAATTTCAATATAAAGTTCACATTTTGGTCTTCATCTCTACTGCTCTTTTGCTTACTTCTCAGTTGGTTCTGAACTTTAAGAGTATCATCTATTAACCCCAACATATCTCAATAGGGATAATAATTACAACATATGATTGTCTTGATATTGTATTTGGTAGAATGTAAAATATTTCTTATGTATAAGGAGTTAGTATTTCAATTTTAATACTTCTTTCATCTATCTCTTCATTTCATAGATGCAGTTTTTAAGATTGATTTCTTCATCCAATCGGATGACTGAGTTTAGGCTAAATCTACAAAAAGGAATAAACTTAATATTGGATTATGCTTGAAATAAAATATCTTCCATTCGATGTTTTCAATTGTACATGGTTTCTTTTTTAATGTTTAACAAACTTTTAATTTTCTAAATAGGTGATAGAAAATACTACTGTACTGGATACAGACTAGAATTTAGAGAATTATTGAAATATTGGCCGCAAAGATTTTTTAAAATCTGGTACTTCTTTTATAACTTTACCTCTGTGAACTATAATTATTTTTAAACATGAATTTGCAACTTAAACTAAACATGCCAGATAATCCTGCATGCTTTTATTCCCAAAATTGCAGTCTTCAGCTGGCCACGACATCCTTCCCTGGCCTAAAGTGACAATACATAGATTATTATCAAATTCATTCATCGTTCTGGGAACTGGTGAACAAAACAGATATGGCCCTTATCTCCATGGAGATCACGTTCGAAACAAAAGCATAGCTATATAGTTTTCCAATCACTTTTCAATATTTTATAAGCCAGTCTTGACAATTATCTTACCAGGCTGATAATTCTCACTAAAACTAAAGTTTTCAAGGCCCCAACTACTTTATTTTGAGAAAGGAAACTAATATTTATTGGGTATAGCCTTATGGAAATAATCCTGTTTAATTCTTATATTACCCTTAAGAAAAATATTATTTTCACTGTTTAATAGATGAAGGAAGTGAGGCTCATTGAGATTACATAACACCCACAAGGTCACGAACTTTAGTTAATGAAGAGGGAGACTTCTAACTCACTGATTCCAAAGCCCTATGTTTTTCTACTAGAATGAATCAGTTAATGTCATTATATCCCAAGTCAGTGCTGTTATTATAATGAGAAGAATTTTTAAAGGATAAAAATGATGTATATAAAGACATCAGTAAACTAGTAAACTTTGGTAAACTATTATTAAAGAGAAACATCAACACTTTAAGATTGCTAGACTGAACTTTAAAAGATATCTTTGCTCACATTTAAAATAACTCTTCATTTAATAATGTTGAGCTGTAACAAATCATTCACACTCCATCTCTCAGAAGTCTAACACCACTTCGTGAGAACAGTGAACAGATTCAGGATGCGGTAATACCTTTCCTCGGTTCAGATCCCGCTCTGCCACTTAATAGCTGTGGGGCCTTCCACAAGTAATTAACATCTCGGTGCCTCAGTTCCCATATCTGCAAAATGAGAATGAGAGTAGCATCTAGTGAACAGTATTTTGGTATTAAATCGCTTAGAAGAGTGCCTGACACATAGCGAGCATTAAATAAGTATTAGCTGTTATCGCTATTGTTGTTGTTTTAGAGATTAAATACCTTACGTCCATATCCCCATAATCTACAAAGGACTTGAAGGATGAGATTATGGCCAGCCAGAATCTCTTTCCCAGGAGTTCTGGGCTCCGAAACAGAACCAAGACCATAAGCAAATCCCTGGAGAAGTCAGAGGAGCCAGCTTTCTGACTGAGTCGCAGATAGTGAGGGCTTCTCTCTGGGTAATAACTGCTCCACAAGCTTGTCAATGTCCTCTCTCCAGACCACCGGGAGCACATCCACAGTTCTAGAAAGCTGGTTACTGACTCACTGCAAGGAGGAGAAATGCATACCATGGGGAAGCATGGGACATCTTAGTAAGAGGATTAGAAAGAACTTATGACAGGATTTGTGGTTTATCTTACATGATTTGGGGAGCATTCAAGGAAACAGGTACCTTAGATGCTGTCCCAAAGCAGAGAGAATTCTGACTGGGTATCTTAATTCTTATCTAGACAGTGAGAGAAATGAAATCAAGCTAAAGCTGCAATTGGTAACGAAATAGCAGCCACTTGTTATTAGTCAGCAAAGGGCGATGTTTGCTCATTTTTTGGTTTGGACTATTTCTAATTTCTGTCTGTTCAGACGTGAGCATGCAGTGGTCTTATCTTTTCTTGTTCTAACATAGTCTCAAAGCGGTCTTGTCTAGATTGGTGTTCTCTGAACACATTTATATTCAACAGAACTTCACAGATTCACTGTGAGTGCCGGGCCAGCTCCCAGATAACAGGGGCTATGTTTTCTCTTTCTCAAACTAGATAAGAGCGTTTTGCTTGAGGGGCAGAGCTGGCCAGGAAAATAACAACTATTGTGGTTATTATTCACACATATTGACAGGTTCATAGTTTATAAAGTCCTTTCATAGTCACTGTATAAGTTGAGCCTCTCAGAACAATCCTGGGAGGTAAGTAGGCCATAGGTCCACACCTTGCACACCTCCAGAGGCCCCATCCATTATATATTCCACGTGAACAGCAGTCCCCTGGAGTTGTGCAACAAGGCTGTGCTGGCGGGGCAGACATTTCCATTCCTTTATGCAATTATGAAATTGAATGAAAGAAGATTCCTGAGTGTTCCTGTTTCCCAACCAACCGCGTGCTCTCTGGCAACCTACTCATCTGCTGACGTCAGATTCCCTGATTCAGAGTTTCCACGCCAGTCTGCCCTCTCATGACCTGGACTACAAAGGCTACTCTTTGTCTGTGCCTGCCCAGAACAGGGTGCTATGAAGGGTACTGAACTTAGAACCTTTTCACGTAGCCCATTCCTAAAACAAACAAAAAAGTATAGTGTATGTGTGTGTTAACTTAAAAAGTTAACATGTCTTAGTATATTTTGCTCAAAATATCCCGCTAAATGTAGGGGCTGAAAGTTTTAAACGCAGACTGAGCTACTAGTAACATAGCTTTACCCATTCTTGGAAACCTGCCAAGTAAAACATCAAAAGAAAATAAAATTTCCCATGAAATAGCCATTATTAATACATTTTTGCCCAGCACTGTCTTTCTGTAGCTGGGAAATTCCCTCTTGCTACTAAATTTCTCTCCTGAGACATGATATAAAGTGAAACTGAAAATGGAATACCCCACTGATAATTGCAAGCTGTTGCTGGGAAAATATGAGCATTGATTCAAACAGATTTGGTTCAGGAATCCTGTCTCCGTAATTTACAAACTCTGTGACTTAGGGCAATTTACCTTACCTCTCTTGCACTAAATTATGCATGCTTCTCTCCTCTGATATCTGAGAGTGTCCAGAATTCCCTATCAGAACCCTAATCACCCTCCACTGTGATTATATGCTCAGGTTTCTCTCTAATCACCCTCCACTGTGATTATATGCTCAGGTTTCTCTCTCCCTTAGAACACTACAAGCAGGGACTGTGTACATCTTGTTGTCCTTGTATTTCCAGCACCTAGCGTTATGACACATAAAATATTTGTTAAATTTATCTGTTGCCTTAGGGAAGGTGGACTGGAGATCTGGAGAATCAGGAAGGCTTACTTTTCATTTACATATGTTTTTATAATTCTTGAATGTTTTACTATGCCAATTTGGTACATGTATTTTTTAATTAAAAATCATATTCACATGAAAAAAGTTTCTTGCACATAAATATGCAAATAAATGTTTGGTAATGAAATAGTAGGCATTTGATTCTGTCCAGCTTCCTCTCAGAACAATCCTGGGAGGTAAGTAGGGGTCAAAGTAGATGATTTTAAGACAAATTGTCTTCTCCATTTTCTTCTACATAATAAACCACATGTATAATTTGAAGGCTAAAGTGTAATTTCATTTGACTGTAATTTTTCTTTTCTTATGAAAAAGTGGTAGCCTAGCCAGCTCTATCTTAAATCCAGAACATTCCGGTTTGATGTTCGACAGAGGAGGGCAGCAAGAGGGAAGATTCCTTGGGTCTTTTGCTTAGTATTCTAGTCAGCTAATCAGAGCTTTGAAAATAAACTAAATTTCCTTTTTTTGCCACTATTATCTGTGTGTATAGATCTATCAGGACACCTCATGGAACAGGAAGCCTGGGGATTGAGGCATGACGTAGCTGACCCCGAGTCCCTTGGCCTAATGCCATTGAATAGCACCAAAATCCCTATCACACCCACTCCAATCTGAACGTTTTCAGCAAGTTTCCCTGCATGAAATACTTCCAAAGACTTTGGCTGCTGATCATCATCCCCTGAATGACAATGATAAATTCTTCAGTCTTTCCAGAAGACTTCTGTTTCTTGAGCTACACAGATCACGCTGATGTAAAAAGATTTGAGTCAGAATTTACATACCAATTCCATGTTTTCTAACCAAGTTATGCTCTATATTTCTAGTTTTAAAGACTTCAAAATATGATCAATTTCAATGAGCAATTAAAATAAGAATCTTCCCAGGGTATAATCTAAAAGGTAAAGAAAAATTTCCTTAATTTTTACAATCTAAGTGAAAGATATTTTCTAAATGCTAATTTATCTGATTAATGAATGAAGAGAGGTCTCCACTTCTAGATTCTGAACTTGTTTTGTCTGGTCCACATTTTTGATGAGTTGAAAAAACAGAAGAGAAAGAAAGTAGCATCTACTGAGGGTGTGCCATCTACTAAACAGTATACCTATATTATCTTATTTCATATTTACAAAATTATTTAGAGCAATATTTTCACAGAGAGAGAAAATAAGCCTCAAAGAGGTTAAGCGTGCTGCCCAAAGTTACATAGCTCATATGTGACGAAGCAGAGAACTGAAGTCAGATCTGTATTCTTCCAAACATCGTGCTTCCTGGAAAAGACAGCCAATATAGCAAAATGCAGATTTAAGAGATTCAGGAAAAGTAGAAGAATGGACCTAAATAGATATGAAAAAGCTTAATATGATTAAGTTCAAAAATTGAACTAGGTCTACAAATGAGCTATTACTCCACATTTACTGGATTGCTAAATAGTGACAATACAGAGAAATGGAACCTCTCATATATTGCTACTGGGAATGTAAAATGATGCAGTCACTCTGCAAAAGTGTGGCAGTCTCTTCAAAAAACTAAATATGCCTTTACCATTTGACCCAGCAATTACAGTCCTGGGCATTTATCTTGAGTAATGAAAATGCATGTCCACACGAAAACCTGTACAAATTATTCACAGCAGCTTTATTAGTAATGGCTAAAATCTAGAAACAACTAAAATGTTCCTCAATAGATGAATGATTAAACAACTTTGGTGTATCTCATACCACGGAATACTATTCATCAATTAAAAAAAAAAAAAAAGAATCAACTATCGATACAAGAAACAACTTGGGTGGATCTCAAGGGCATTATGCTGAGTGAACAAAACCAACCTCAAAAAATCACACTTTCACTAACATAACATTCTTGAAAAGACAAAATTATAGAAGTGTAAAACTGAATAATGGTGGCCAGGGGTCAGGAATGGTAGAGGGTAGCCGTGGGTGTGACTGTTAAGGGGTGGGATGAGGAGATCTCTGTGGTGATGGACTAGTTTTGTATCTTGACTGAGGTGCAGGAATCTGTGATGGTGACAAAATGACATAGAGCAATGTAGACACATTGAATGAATGCAAATTTGATATGGTATTAAAATTATGTAAGATGTAACCACTGAGGAAACCGGGTGAAGGATACATGGGACCTCTCCATATGATCTTTGCAACTCTGTTATTATTTATTATTATCTCCAAATAAAAAGTTTTAAAAAATTGTACCTTGGGTGTTTTAGTTGCCTACGGCCGCCATAACAAAGAACCACAAACTTGGTAGCTCAAACCACAAAATGTATTTTTTCCCAGTTCTAGAGGCTAGAAGTCCAAAACCGAGATGTTAACACAGCTGGTTCCTTTGAGGGCAGAGAGAGAGAATCTATTCCACTCTTCTTTCTTAGCTTCTGGTAGCCTCGGGCATTACTTGGCTTGTAGATGGCTTTCTCCCTGTGTCTTCACACTATTTCTCCTTTATGTGTATCTGTCTCTATGTCTAAATTTTCCCTTCTTATAAGGACACCAATCATATTGGATTGGCCCTATCCTAATGACCTCACTTTGACTTGATCAGCGGCAAAGACCCCATATCCAAATATGGTCACATTCGCAGGTACTGGGGTATTGAGACTTCAACACCTTTGGGAGTACACAAATCAACCCATAGTACTGGGTCTAAAAGAATCAACTGCCTGAATGTAGGAGAGAAAAACTGGTTTAAAGGCAGTTCATATTAAAAATAAAAAAAGAGACAAGAAACAAAAATCTCCAGTTTTATTTGACCACAGGCTCATCTTAAATCAACAATTTGATAAGTGTTTTAAATAGGAATACTGTCTTCCAGGGCACTAGGAGATTCAGATGAGA